GTTAAAAAAATCTCTAAGAACCCATAAAGCTCAACTGGAATTGACATCCCTCCAAACATTTATCATAGTAATTTAAGATATATTGGTTCAAATGTCCCATCCCTAAAAGGTGGATAACTCCAATTTTAAACCAATAGATGACCTATGTACCTTTAAGAAGGCACACAGGACAGCTTCAATAATGTATCTGTAGCTCTTCTCTAAAAAAGTCTAGAATGTACATGAAAAAATATTTGTTGTTGTAGGTTTTTAAAAATTTAAGTCAACATTATTGTTCATACACAAAAACTATATTTGAGTTATCTGAATGTGGAAGTTAGTAGAATCATTAATTTATTCTTTATGATTTATGGAAAATGCCATTAATAATGTTAACTTTCTATTTTATTCTATTTTTCCTATTTTCTATTCTATTTTATTCTGTTTATAATATTCTACATTACAACAACCCATAAATTGATTAGCATAGGTGGCCCTTTATAAACTCAGGCTGCAATCGTTTTATGCCTTAATAAATCATCTCCATGAGATGCTGTGACTATTTTTTCCATGAAAAATTCATCACTTTCATGAAAAAAATTTTTCAATAAAAAAAGAGGGCGCAACCATGTTTTTTTCCTGTCATGGCCTAGGGCAATAGTCTCTCCCACAGACAATAACTGAGATTTGCAAGCTTCTTCACAGAGAGCATTTGGCATTGCCATATATGATCTCCAAAGAAGAAGAAGTGAATTGGAACTGTCTAATTTCTTCTGGTCTACTGCTTCAGCCTCTTGCAACTTTTAAGAGCCCTGTATGTGCTGGAATAGGTGCTTAGTAAATGCTTGTTGATTGCCTGAGATGAAAGAACAGCCTGATCCTGGTTTCACTCAGTCCTACTGGACTAACTTCAACCAACTGGGCATAGATAGATGTCATCACAGAGTCAAATGCACATTGGCATCCTCTAAACTCTGTATTTCCAGAGGTCAGTCTACTTCTGGTCCACCTCTGTGGCACAAAGATTAAGAGAGCAAGTCAGGAGGGTCAGAGTCTGAATCCTCTCTCAGACACTTACAAATCGTGTGACCCTAGGCAAGTTACTTAATCTCTCCAAACCTCAGTTTCTTCAACTGTGTAATAGAGCCAGTAATAATATCTACCTCACAAAATAGTTTTATGGATTAAATTGGCATATAGATAGTGCTTTGCACTTTGATAGATATAGATGTACACACAGATTATATATAATATACATACATGTACATATATACATATACATACATACAGAGAGAGAGAGAAAACTTTACAAAACTTAAATCATTACATAAATGCTAGCTGCCTAAAGAGAATGAAAGGATTGGCATTCACTGAAGAACAGGCCTACAGCCAAGGCCTAGGCCATGTTAGAACCTAAAGTCAAACTGACCATTTGAGCAACTGAGCAAACATCATAGGGCAATCCAGGTGTAGAACAAATTTCTGGAGAGCCAAGAGAGGGGTTGTTTACCCTGTCACCATAGACTGAATCCAGAGTCAGAATCTCTCTGGAAATATGATGTGAGAAAGATAAAAGGATTGTTGTTGTTTGTCCTTTATTCTTGAAGAGGACCATGATGTCAGGAAGGTGATGCCGTGACTTGTAAGTGAATTGGATTTAAGTGAGGGAGGGCTGTGCAAAGTCACCAGCCTCACTTTTTCCTCTGGAGCTCTGTGGGTCCAGTGGCAAGATACAGATCCAGATGACTGGAGATGGCCTCCCCAAAAGGATCAATCAGTTGGAAAAGGTTTATTGAGTACCTACTCTTTGCTAATTACCATGCTAGGGACCGTGAAGAATGAAAAGGATAAAACAGGGTCTCTTTCCTCATTCTTCCCTCCCATTCTGCTCCTTTCCTTGGCCAAAAGCATACATTTTAGTTATGGAAGATGAGATATTTTCCCATGACAAGGTAATCCAAGGCAACATACAAAAAGTGCCATATGAGTGGCACAAATCAGAGGCATAAAACACGGCCCATGGGCAACATGTGGCTCAAATATTCCCAAATGCATCCTGAACCAGATTAAAATGCCATTGGGAAATATTTAACAAAATAAATTTTAAAAAACACAATAAAATGTAGATAATGTTAATGTGTGGTTTTCAAAGTCAGGGATCTTTATGCATGGTTTACCAGGCCCTGTTTCTATCTGAATTTGAAACCGCTGGTGTAGATGATAGCATCCTAGATTCAGAGCTGAAAAAGACCTTAGAGGTCACCTAATCCAATCCTTTTATTTTACAGATAAGGAAACTGAGGCCCCTCGAGGCTAAGGGACTTATCCAAAGTCACACAGGCAGTAAGTAGCAGAGCCAGGATTTGAACCAAAATCTACTCCAAATCTAATGTCGCTGCACTGTACCATGCTATCTCCCATATTCATTAGTGTTATAGGAGCTAACAGTGTTATTAATAGTCCAAAGTAAAGAGAGATCACTTTAGGCTAAGGTGGACAGGGAAAATAGAAATGATAGGTTTTGAGTTGAGTCTGGAAAAATGGATAGGACTTAGCTATGCAGAGAAAGGGAGTGGGTGGGAAAGCATTTCAAATTCAGGAAAGCCTATGTAGAAAATTCAACGTGCACCCGGGCATGGAGACAGCGAGATGGAGCACTAGAGAGAGGACTTGGCCTGAAGTCAGGCCTGAATCCAAATCTGGCCTTGCTGTGTGATTCTAGGAACTCATTTAACCTCTGTTTGCCTCAGTTTCCTCAACTGTAAAATGAGGATAGCACCTTCCTTGCAGAGTTGTTGAGAGGATTAAATGAAATAATCTTTGTAAAGCCCTTAGAATGGTGCCTGGCACATTGTAGGTACTGATTTAATGATGATGATCATCATTACTATGTTATTATGTTCCTGGGGACACTCAGATCTGTCAGATACTCTAATATTGTTTTCTGCAAAGGCCCTAGCATCCTTGATCCCTTTTTTGAGTCTGTTCATATTAATAATAAAGCATTGCCTGTTTTCTGTCCCTGCCTATTCCAATCATCCATTGGAGAGCTTTGTAGAGGGAACAATATCTAAGTTATAATACTGATTAGTGATCCCAGATAAACCTTTCTACAATCCCCTTCCATAATAATGCTGGATGACTCCTACTGCTAAAATATTCTTTCTTGTATCTAACATCATAACCAAATATTTCAACTCAATCTCATAAGGAATGCCTTTCCAGACTGATCATAAAGAGGTATGGCGAGGGTCTAAAGCTTAAAGAGCTAATTTCAAAAAGTCAAATTAGATTTTCTCTGATAGATTCTTCACTCCCTCTGCCCCCATTTCTAGCTTAATTTTTCTTTCTTTTTCTTTTTCTTTTTTTTTTTTTGGCTAGGCAATGGGGTTAAGTGACTTTCCCAGGGTCACAGAGCTAGTAAGTGTTATATGTCTGAGGCCAGATTTGAACTCAGGTCCTCCTGACTCCAGGGCCAGTGCTGTATTCACTGCACCACCTAACTGCCCCCTAGCTTAATTACTTATAGTAATTTCCAGATGATCAGAGATCACAGGATTGAGAATTGCAAAGACAGTGAAAGATCAGGTAGGTGACATAGTGGATAGAGTGCCAGACCTGAAATCAGAAAGACTCAGTTTCCTGAGTTCAAATCCAGCCTCAGATACTTACTAGCTATTGGACCCTGAGCTGACTGAACAGTATCAACAAAATAAAAGATCATCCAAGTTTAACCCAATCATTTTCATGAATGATGAAATTAAAGCCTAAGAGAGGTTGTGATTTGCCTAAGGTCACACAGATTATAAATAACAGCAAAAAGATTTAGCATCACGTTCAGTCATTTTTCAGTCATGTCTGACATTTTGTGACCCTATTTGGAGTTCTTTGGCAAAGATACTGCAGTGGTTTGCCATTTACTTCTCCAATTCATTTTACAGACAAAGAAACTGAGGCAAACAAGATTAAGTTATTTGACCAGGGCCTGGCACTCTATTCACCTAGCTGCCCACTTAGGATCATAAGAGCATAGATTTAGAACAGGAAAGAGACATTGGAGGTCATCTATTCCATGTCCCCTTCATTTTACAAATAAAGAAACTGAGGCCCAAAGATGTTAAAACACTTGTCCAAACTTGACCATACAAGATAGCAGAGCCAATATCTTCCAATTCTATCCCATGGCTGCCTCCCATAGCTTCAATCAATTGAATTCATAGTACAAGGTTTCTAATATAACTCATTTGGCCCCAAGAAGAAATTTAAATATTTTATTTATAAAAGCACATGTAAAATTGAAGATTTCTTTAAATTTATCATTTAACTTCCAAAACAGCAAAAAGTCTGGGAGCCGTATTTTTGCAAAACAAGAAAGATCACTATGTAAGCTTTCAGCCTGGCTAGGGCAGAGAAAATTATTGTGGCAAATAAGATAATAGCCTTAAATAACATATTTTCAAATGGATATCCCACTTTTTGTTGTGAGACTAACAGTCCTTCCTTTCAGGAGAAATGGAGCTTCATGGGCCTCCTCCCTTTCTTCCTTTGGAATCCTCCTCTATGTAGACATTCACTTCTTCTAGATACTATCCCCACACATAATCATTATTTGAAGGTCACCTTCCTTTAGGATTCCTTAGCATATATAGTGTTTTGCCCAGGAGGTTATTTTGGTGCAGTTCTGTCGAAAGGTTAGGGAATAGCCTAAGATTAAGTGACTTCTGAAAATCCCTTCCAATCTTGTGATTTTTTTTGTCCTCCAACTGCTTCCCAAATGCTTAGTAATTAATTCATCCTCTCTGTTGCAGTGAGGGTTAAGCAGTTGGGACAGTACATGGCATTCCTGAGATCTCAGCAAGAACAAACATCAGAGCCAAGATTAGGATTCGGGAACTTTCTACTTTTAGTCCCCAGTTCTAAATCATGACTCCTCCCTGTCTGCTAGAATTGAAGCTTTCATTAAGTTCCAGATTAATGGGACTAAGTATCTTGAAACCCACATTTCCCAAATGTAGTTGATATTAATCGGGCCCATCTTCACAATCACTGTGAGTGAGATGAACATAGTTCATGTTCTCAGGCTTGCCAAGAAGAGGGCAGTAAGCCACTTGTTTATCTTGGCAGATTTCTTTGTCTGTGTGTGATTCCTTCTCTTCTTTCCTAAGGTCAAAGGATACCATTTCTACTGAGTTAAGAGGACTTTCTGAATTTGGTTGATCTAGGGTGCATTCTTTAGCTAATACCATGTAATTTAGGCCTTTCTTGTCCTTGGTTTCCAAGGAAGCTACTGAAAGCATATCAGCTGAATCGGCATAAACCACATCACCATCTTCACTTGTCGAAATTTTTTTGAAAGAATTCTGCTATTAATTTAGCACAGGGGAGGGAGGAAGTGTTAATCATTAGCTAGAAGATGTAAAAGCCAAGTTAGTACTTAAAGCAGTGCCATATTATTAAGTGGATAGTTACCTATATAGTATAGTTTAAAGTGAACTAAGAATGATCATAAGAATGATTGTGGAAAAACATGGAAAGACTTGCATGAAATAATGAAGAGCAAAATGAGCAGAACCAAGAGAACATTGTATACAGTAACAATAATATTGTTTTAAGAATGACATTGATTCTGAATAAAGTGAGCAGAACCAAGAGAACGTTGCACACAATAACAGCCATGTTGTGCAATGACTAATATTGATAAACTTAACCCTTCTCAGCAATACAAGGATCTAAGACATCTCCAGAGGTCTGGTGATGGAAAATGCTATCCACATCCAAAGAAAGAACTATGGAAGTTGAATCGCTATCATTTTTTTCTCTTCTGTTGAGTTTTGTTTCCTCTTTCTGATGGTTCCTCCTATTGTTTCTATTTTTTACTTACAACCTCACTAATGTGAAAATATGTTTAATAGGAATGTAAATGTATAGCCTATATCAAATTGTGTGTCATCTTCGGGAGGGTGGTGGGGAGGAAGGGGGAGAAAAATTTTAAACTAAAAAGCATATGGAAGTGATTGTTGATAAATCAAAATAAATTAATAAAATAAAAAAAGAATGACATTGAACAAATTAGTTATCTTGATTATTATATAAACAAATTAATTATAAAGGACATATGAAGAAATAATCTATCTACATCCAAAGAAAGAACTGATAAATAGAAGTTTGCATAGAATAATTTTACACACACACTTATACATATATACATATATATTATATATGTATATATGTGTGTGTATGCATGTGTGTGTATACATATATATATATATACATATATATATACATATATATATACATATATATATACATATATATATATACATATATATATACATATAATATATACATATATATATACATATATATATACATATATATATACATATATATACATATATATATACATATATATACATATATATATACATATATATATACATATATATATATACATATATATATATATACATATATATATATACATATATATACATACTATATATATACATATATATATATACATATATATATATATATATATATATATATATATATATATATATATGTATACACACACACCCCTAATTGTTTCTCATGGTAGCCATCTTTAGGGCTGGAGGGAGGGAAGAAAAAAAAATTTACGTGATAATTTTGCTATATATTTAAAAGGAATAGGAGGTTGTACATAATCCATTTGAAGTTTCATCTGCAATCATATGTTTTTCATTCTAGTATGTTATGGAAATTCTTGTTTTATTTCATAAATTAAAAATAAAATAAATAAAATTTTTAAAAAATAAAGTGCACTGAGAAGCTCCCACCCCCATCCAATACATCTCTCCCCTATCATCCTGCCATGGTCTCAAACTCCCATCCAAAAAAAGCATTGCTTTGGATTAAGGCATTGCCCTCTCTAGTAATTTATTTTATTTTATTTTTTTAGGCAATTGGAATTAAGTGACTTGCCCAGGGTCACACAGCTAGTAAGTGTCATGTGTTTGGTCTGAGGCCTGATTCGAACTCAGGCCCTCTGGCACTCTATTCACTGTGCCACCTAGCTGCCCCTGAGTTCATTTTTTTTAAAAATGCAAATATATCCTGGCTGTAGCAACACATATATAACATCATGTTGTTTAATTAATTAAGGGGAGCTAACCAAGCCAGTCCTTTCAAAAGATTTAGGAACAGGACACAGGCCAGATTTGTTCTGAAGTAATAGGATTGAAGAATATTGGGGGACTAGACCTGGATAGAGTGCTGTACTGAGGATTCCAGAGGAGCAAAAAATGATACTTAGTAGTTGGGTAGATATAGCCAATGTTACCTACCTCACATTTTTTTGTGACTGATTTTAGCCCGGATTTACTAGTAGGTGTAAATTTTATAACACCTAGCATGGTGCTATTTTTCGTTATTTCAGTCATGTCAGACTCTTTGTGACCCCATTTGGGATTTTCTTGATAAATATATTACAGTGGTTTGCCATTTCCTTCTCTAGCTCATTTTACAGATGAGGAAACTAAGGCAAGCAGGGTTAAGTGACTTGCCCAGGGTCACACAGATAGTAAATGTCTGAGGCTAGATTTGAACTCAGAAAGAAGAATCTTCCTGACTCCACTCTATCTACTGAGCCACCTAGCTACCCACAGTGCTATGTACACACTAGAAAATGTTAGATGAATTGAAATGGATATTGGACTGAGTGGCTGTATTCTTATATTAATATAATGATTTCTGTTAGAACAGGTGGTAGAGTTTTTATTACACATACACTTCAGTGAATCAAAAAGCTATTTGTTGAATGAGCAAGTGAGAGAAGAAAATGGGGATAACTGACTTGGATCAGTGTTTTCCTACCTCCGATTTTCCTAACTAGACAAAGAAAGAAAAACAACTTAACATTTAAAAGAAGTGATGATCTCAAAGGTGATGGTCATTAAAAATCTGATAATCCTGCTAATATTGAAATAGGTAACTATTTGTTTGATCTAGAACAAACCACCTACCTACCTATTCTGGCCTCATTTTTCCCATCTCTATAATGAAACAAGATGAGCTCAAATAGAAACAGGGGCCACTAAATCATACATAAGGATCCCGGGGTGGGGCTACATATTGACTTAGAAAACTACCTATTAACATTATCTATGTTTTATTGTATTTTTATTTATTTTGTTAAATGTTTCCCAATTACATTTTAATCTGGTTCAGGCCCACTCTGGAGTGCTGTGAACTCCGTGGGCAATTGTTTGTTTTTGTCTTTTTTGGCTAGGCAATAGGGTTAAGTGATTTGCCCAGGATCACACAGCTAGTAAGTGTTATGTGTCTGAGGCTGGATTTGAATTCAGGTCCTCCTGAATCCAGGGCCGATGCTCTATCCACTGCATCACCTAGCTGCCCCCGCCCCCCATGGGCAGTTGTTTGACACTGCTGGATTAGATGATCTTTAAGGACTTTGAGATGCTGTGATAGATATATAAATCACCTTTTCTTTCTAACTACCTTCCCAGCATTTAGAACATCCAAAGGATACTTACTGTTCATTGTACTGCTCTACAATTTTGAATGTAATTAGTACCAACTTCCCTTTACAATGAAATAAAATGGAACTTTTTTTAGAGCATGAAAACATCATAAGAAATGACATCTTACCTGTCAATTTTCAAGTTAAGGCTCCAAATCTGAATAACAAACTCTCTATGATACCAAAGGACTTGTTATTATCATCATTCTTCCATATCTTTATTCTTAGTAGCAGGTTTCTTTTCCCTTTCTATGTTTTGAGGTAGTCAGTCAGTCCATCAATAAACATTTATTAAGTGCCTACTATGTGCCAGGCACTGTGCTGAGCACTAAGGATACAAAAAGGGGTAAACACAGTGCCTGACCTCAAGGAGGTCACAATCTAAGAAGCAGGGCTGTGTGTGTGTGTGTGTGTGTGTGTGTGTGTGTGTGTGTGTGTGTTTGCATGTGTGTTTGTGAGAGAGAGAGAGAGAGACAGAGAGACAGAGACAGAGACAGAGAGAGACAGAGAGAGAGAAACTCTACTTTCCAGGCAAACCAGACTACTTACTATTACCCAATGTCAATTCCAGGTCAACTGCTACTTCCTCCAAGAACCATGCCATTCAGTTTAGACCTCTCATACCTTTATGTTCAGATTTGACTTCTACTAGATTATGAATCCACACAGAGTTGCAAAGGACCTCTGAGGCTTCTGCTCCAACCTGTCCCTTTACGGCAATTTTGGCTATATAATGACCAGCAAGTGATTTTTCACCCTTCCAGTGATACAAGAGCCAATATTTGTTGGGACAGCCCAGCTCCTTGGAGCAGGGGCCAATCCCCAGTGCTTAGCATAATACACAGTACACAGAATAAGTATCTGACAATTTTTTTTAATTGAATTTCATTTTTATACATTGCATTTCCCCAACCATCAGAGTAGGGTATTTCAAGCAGTATGAATATTCAAATTCAAATACTACAGAAGTGTCAAATACACTTTCCCCGGGCCCATATGCCCAACACCACTCAAGTGTAGCCTGAACTAGATTCAAATTTAATACTGACAAGTAAACAAAAATATAACAGAACACAGATAATATTAATATGGTGTTTTGTAAGTCAACATATACGGTTTAGTGATTCCTTTTCTGTTTGAGTTTAAAACCACTGGACTAGAATATTCCTACCTCCTCCCCATATCACTGTTTAGTCAGCTGCCAAGTCTAACTGGTGCCACCTTACCTACTATCCCTAAGTAACATGAGTTCAGTACAATCTATTATCATACTTATATAATTTTCAAAATATGCATCATGGTACACAAGAAAGGATGCTATATTGAGAGTTAAAGAACCTGGGTTTAACTTCTTGCTCTACCTTTTACTACTTGTATGATCTTTGGCAACTATTTAACCTTTCTAGGTCTTTATTTCTTGATCTGTAAAATTAAGGGGTTGGTATATTTGAGAAACAAGGTCTTTTCTCGTCCTAAACCTATGATCTGGTGTAATCAGAGTCATTTAAATAAAGGTTCAAGAGTGATTTGGTAATATGGTATAAACAGTACAATACATGGGAAATCGTCAGGAGAAGTAGGGTAAGAAAGTTACCAGGGTCCCAGGGTCAGAAAGCAAGAAGACGGTTCTTTAAAAAAATAGAATTGGACATAAAGAAAGAAGGAATTTTGAAGACAAACTTGCAATGCAATATATTTTTGCAAATTAGCTATTCATTGATATAGCACTAGTCAATGTGAGAAGAATTAATAAAGCTGGTGAAATTTCTTACAGCAAAAGTTCTTAGCCTGGAATCCACAGACCCCCAAG